CTGATGCTCAGAGCCTGGAGCCTGTTTCCGATTCTGTGTCTCCCTCTCTCTCTGCCCCTCCCCCGTTCATGCTCTGTCTCTCTCTGTCCCAAAAATAAATAAACGTTGAAAAAAAAATTTTTTTTAAAAAAAGACAGATTTGGGGCGCCTGGGTGGCGCAGTCGGTTAAGCGTCCGACTTCAGCCAGGTCACGATCTCGCGGTCCGTGAGTTCGAGCCCCGCGTCAGGCTCTGGGCTGATGCTCAGAGCCTGGAGCCTGTTTCCGATTCTGTGTCTCCCTCTCTCTCTGCCCCTCCCCCGTTCATGCTCTGTCTCTCTCTCTCCCAAAAATAAATAAACGTTGAAAAAAAAAATTAAAAAAAGACAGATTTAAACAAATATATATATAGACATCTTCCACGATAACAGACCAAGACGTGAATTGTCTCCAAATATCCCATGAGGAGACAGTGAAAGCATAGGAAACATTTTATTTGGAAAAGAGAAGACCCAGAGAAGGGCATGAAAACAATTTGCCCATATCCTGATACTTGACACATGGAAAGGGCATTATCTTACTTAATCCCCAGGGCTTACAATTAGGACTTGTTATGGGAATTACAAATGGATAGAGAAAAAATGGCCTAAGGAATGTCTGAATGGAGATTCAAAGACTGCCTAAGACGAGATATTATAGAGATTCGGAAAACTGGTTGGGGATTGGGCCACTTAATATTTAAGGTCCTTTTGGGTGAGGATTTATGGTATTGGGATACTTTTGGACTCAGGAGTTTAATGCAGAACAGTAGCCAAATGATGCCCCTGAGGCCTTTAAATACTTGCTAGATGGTGCAATATGTACCCCCTCTAATACCTCAAACTTATCATGGCCAAAATCATACTTTCCCTCCCACATGCTCTTGCCCTGGTATTTATAACATTACTCTCCTCAGATGTCATGTAAGAGTAAACACCAGTTGTCTTGATTTTCTTCACTTCCCCCATTCTTTATATCTAATTGAACATGAAGTTCCTGCCATTACATTTCTACAGCGGCTGTCATATCCAAGCCAAATGATCAAAACATAAAAGTGCAACAGTAACTGTTGTGAAGATGGCTGCAGAGCAAGCGATGACACTGTGAGGAAAGAAATCACAACCATGGCCCCGGATGGCCCTGGTGGTTAAGCGGAGGCCACAGATTAGTAAAAAGCAGAGCTGAAAGAATGAAGCAATGGAGGTGCCTGCGTGGCTCAGTCGGTTAAGTGCTGGCTTAGGCCCAGGTCATGATCTTGCGGTTCGTGAGTTCCAGCCCCGCATCAGGCTCTATGCTGACAGCTCAGAGCCTGGAGCCTGCTTCGAATCCTCTGCCTCCCTCTCTCTCTGCCCCTCTCCCACTCGTGCTCTGTCTCTCTCTCTCTCTCAAAAATAAAATAT